CCCCCCCCCCCCCCCCCCCCCCCCTTTGCGCGCCTCCTGTATAGCAACTAATCAAAAGGTATTCAAAGGCAGTCATTGAAGTGAGCGAAGAAGCATTAAAAGTGCGTCAATCAGTTAGCGCTCTAGAAAAACAAAAATCGCCGTAACGCAGCGCTGGCGTTCACAATCGCATTCGCGTTCGCTGAACTTTTGCCTTGAGTGGCGCGGCACATCGCTCTCTACATACACCTACCGGTCAACGCTTGTGCGCTTGTCGCTTGCCCGCATCGAAACACAGTTAGCATTGCAAGTGTTGCTAAGCGAGCGCGCGCGCGCGCACAGTGCGACGACAACTTTGCATTTTATTCTTGCTTTTTTTCACTGCTTGAATAATTTGCGTATTATATAGTACATATATATAGTATATAGAAATTTTATTGCTTGCTTAAAGTTTTTGCTTAATTTAAAGATTTATATTCTTTTTAGTTGCTTATGCAAATTATTTGCGCAGATTTATTAACATATACTAAATAAAAAGTGTATGTAATTATATTCGCATGTGCGAAAACATGCATTTTTGGTAGTACACTAAGCCGTCTCTATGCTGCGCATGCGCCGTGCGTTCGCAATTACTACGCTCTGTTCACCGTCTACTGCATGCGTGTGATTAAATTGGACAGATATTCAATCATTTTGCGCGAATTTTTAATTGCATTTTTATTTGCTGTTAATTTTTTTTACGATATTTGAATTTTTAGCTTTAATAGCTCTTAATTAATGTTCGCCACGTCCTTGGCGGTGCAGTGAACAGTGTGTAGGTGGCTAATTAAGGGGTGATATGTGAATGGATGAAACAAATAAAAAATTATATGCAAAGCTGAAATCTATGAAAACCTCGCCCCATTGATGCTCTAACGCGGCATTATAGAATGGCAGAAGCTGTTAAAACTATGGCGGGGAAGAGACGATAATACTTCATCTTCTCTGCACTGTTTAGGAGCAGCTACGACTTCTGGGTCACCATTTTTGACGATGTATGTATGGTACTTGCCTTTCGGCTCACCACACTAAAAATCCATCCCAGCCCCGTTTCCCTCTTTTCATGGAACTACCTTTAGATATTACACTGCGGAGTAGAAGCGTCGCATTGCCTTTCTACGGGTATCTGCGCTTGCCATATGGCGAACGACGGACCATGATATCCACATGGTTTTCAACGTTAGTCCTTTCGGTATGGTTGGTACGTATATTTTCCAGCAAAAGTGTAAGCATCCCTAAAAATAGAAAAAAGTGTTAAAAATTTTGAGGTGCGTTAAGGTGAGTTAATATGGAGTGAGGTGATTGGAGATGAAGTAAGGTGAACAGTATAACACGATATAAGAGATCCTAATCTTCAGTTGTATTCTTTTTCTTTGACTCTTTACCTTCATTCTGCCTGTCTTTATCCTTTACTTTACTTTTATTTTTATCGGTGCCTTCATCTTCATGTTTACCTGTTTATTCGCCGTTGTCTTTATCTCTGGCTTAGTCGTCTTCGTCTTCGCCTTTATTTATATCTATTTCTTTGTCCTTGTTTTTGTCTTTATCTTCGTACTTTTATTTGTCTTCGGCTTTGTCTTCTTCTTTTTGTTTGTTTTAAACCTAACCGCATACTTTATCTTAACTTTAACCTAAGCCGATATTCATCTTCTTTTTCATATTCTTTTTTATCGTCGTATTCCTTTTCATCTTCATCTTCATCTTCATCTTCATCTTCATCTTCATCTTC